ATGAAGCCTTGTCGTGAATCAGCTGGGTGCCATTCAATCCTTTACTGGGCACACCAGTTTTCCACATAGAATATTTTACTGTCTTAAGTGCTTTGTCTCTGTAAAACTTGGCGGAGATAATTTTCCCTTCCTTGCACGGCATCTGAACCACAAGCCCACTAGAATGGGAAAAATGGCATACAACACTTTCTTGGCGCTTTATATACGTCTTGCAATCACTGGCCGTTCTTGATTTCTCAACAACCATTGCTTGTTATTAATGCGCCTCTGGGACTCAAAGGTAAGACCCTTGTCTCATTCCCTGTAAGTAACTCAAATAGCTTTCTTGAGTAGCAATTGCCGTACAAATGGGGAATCCTTCTTTAATGTCAAGAACTTGATCAGAATAAGATGTGTACAGCCTTCTGAAAGCTATCTCAGTAAAAGTATATCGACCATGGTCCTTAATTATTGCTTTCAAAGCAGCAATGTTCTTCTTTGATGCTGTAACAACCTACCTGCCTGGCCGTGTATCCTCTTTGATGTCAACTTAACCGTTATTGAACTTGTTCATCCCCTTGACAACAGTTCTCCATGTGACGGCAGATGTGCTTTAAATGCTGCACAACTCTGCATGTATCTGTTTTGGCAGTATCTGTAAAGCACATCATGCTTTGGTATAGGAGAGTGTTTCAGATATAGTCTCAACCTTCATTTTAGGACTGAAACGTAGCCACCAGTCACGAGTGTATACCATTCAACAATGAATCACTTGTTCTATTCTTGTCGGATGACGTCATGTCAGACGTTTGCACGTATATTGTTCTTTAAATGCTTTTGCAGTCTGCGATGGCGCTTAACCATTTTATTGCCCTTTTGTCCGGGAGCTGTGTGGTGACATACATTTTTGATTGGCCTTCGTAGTAATAGTTTCTATGACTTGTATCCAGGTATCCGTACAGAAGCTTTCTCAAGAAAAGAGCAGGAAAATGAAAAGAAAGAGCAGCATTCCATGTTCTTTCAATGCAGGGCACCAGGATCCCAAATTATATCATGTAATAAGATTTGTTTTCGTGGACGACTTCGTGAAAGAAGATAAATGAGGTCAGAGAGGTCAGACTTGTTAAGTTCGTTGATGTATTCATTGTGGAATCTTCTAAACAGATCGAAGTCTTCTAATATCTGACGTAGGGGACCAAGACAGCAACGCAACTACGGCCTGCTGTTAATTTCATAGGCTCCCCCCCGGACCAATTTTCGGTGAAAACGGTTTGACTAAGCTGATATTTGTGTCAAATCAAATGATGTTTTCTCCTTAGACATCGTTTTATTTACATCAAGGTTACTTGATCCACTGGTTCACGTGATATTTTGCCGCCTGTCTTCGTTCAGCGACGCTTGTCTTGTGCTATGCGCCATGCGCTAACATTTCATATTTTCGATATTTTTTCAAGAATGTGCTGAATATGGATAATTCCTTTGTGACGTAGACAGAGGAATGTCAACCCGAGAGTGATATTACTTTGTCTACAGCACACAGGCGTGATTGATTATTTCTTGTCTACACTTTCCTATATCGTAAAAACTACATCAAATTGTGAACCCGCTACAGCGCGCTATCATTAAGATCGCATGAAATATGTTACAAAAATGATGACGCTTATCTGGTTATATTGCATAAAGAAATGACGCGATGATAGCCCCCGTGAGTTGGTTCTCACTAGGTAGTTAAAGCAGGATTTTCCTCCTACACATCACAGGTGTTTTCCCGATTTAGCAAGGGAAAAAGATAAACCTGTCTTGATCTATCCAGTGGAAGACAGCTCTTACGCACAATCATATTGTTCTGAAAAGGTCACCATCGCGCCATCAGTGATACTAGAGTAAAGTCATAATTTTTGACAAGATATAACATAGTCCTTGATTTGATGATGGCGCGATGCACTTAACTCACACGTAACACTTATTTGTCACATGTGGGACAAAAATAATCAATAATTCTTCTATGATGCAGAAAGAGTGGTATATTCTATTTATATTTTCCCTAGCGAAACTGGAATAACACCTGTAAAGTGTGGGATCGTAACGATATCTGTCTGAATAGCTTGCTAGAAAATGTCTATTTATTTTGTTCGAATAAATAAACTTGACCAACTTCAAAAGTGTAGATAATCAAATGTACAAAAAAAGGGTTTTTTTTTCTAAGGATTTATAAGGTCTACAGTAATGATGTTTGTCTCATAGCCTTATAGAATGAAATACTATCAAATTTGTGAACAGCTTCTTGAAAAACAGTTTAAAGATTCCTAAAATAGAGTAAAAATATTTGACACTGAACCTTTTTTTTTTAGCAATATATAATTTATGTATGCTCATTGTATTGACTGAACGTTTATCGCAATACACTTTAAAGCCCACATGTATTTACACAGTAAAATGTCTCAAAGAGTCATTATTGATACAACTCATCTTTTGTATAGGTACGAAGGTTTGTACATAAATATCCTACATTTATTGCCCTTTTTAGCTCACCTGGCACAAAGTGCCAAGTGAGTTTATGCCGTGGCGCGGCATCCGTCGTCCGTCCGTCCGTCGTCCGGCGTCAATATTTTACTTTAAACGACTTCTTCTTAATAACCAAAAGGCCTAGGGTGATGATATTTGGCCAAAAACAAACTGGGATGAAGGGCTACCAAGTTTGTTAAAATTAATGACCTTCACCCATTTTCAAGGTCACTGGGGTCAAATATGTTAAAGTTTTTAAACATCTTCTCGATAACCAAACTGCCCAGGGAGATGCTATTTGGCCAGTAGCATGCTTGGGAGAAGGGCTACCAAGTTTGTTCAAATGACCATCACCTATTTTCAAGGTCACAGGGGTCAAATATGTGAAAAACATTAAACAACTTCTTCTGAATAACCAAAATGCACAGGGTGATGCTATTTGGCCAATAGCATGCTAAGATAAAGGGTTACAAAGTTTGTTCAAATAAATGACCTTCACCCATATTCAAGGTCACAGGGGTCAAATATGTTAAAAACTTTAAACAACTTCTTCCCAATAATCAAAATGCACAGGGTGATGATATTTGGCCAGTAGCATACTAGGATCAAGGGCTACCAAGTTTATTCAAATGAATGACCTTCACCTATATTCAAGGTCACTGGGGTCAAATATGTGAAAAACATTTAACAACTTGTTCTGAATAACCAAAATGCACAGGGTGATGCTATTTGGCCAATAGCATGCTAAGATAAAGGGTTACAAAGTTGGTTCAAATAAATGACCTTCACCCATATTCAAGGTCACAGGGGTCAAATATGTTAAAAACTTTAAACAACTTCTTCCCAATAATCAAAATGCACAGGGTGATGATATTTGGCCAGTAGCATGCTAGTGTAAAGGGCTATCAAGTTTGTTCAAATGGATAACCTTCACCTATATTCAAGGTCACATGGGTCAAAAATGTGGAAAACATTAAACAACTTCTTATGAATAACCAAAATGTACAGGGTGATGATATTTGGCCAGTAGCATGCTAGGGTAAAGGGCTATCAAGTTTGTTCAAATGGATAACCTTCACCTATATTCAAGGTCACATGGGTCAAATATGTGGAAAACATTAAACAACTTCTTATGAATAACCAAAATGCACAGGGTGATGATATTTGGCCAGTAGCATGCTTAGATAAAGGGCTGCAAAGTTTGTTCAAATGAATGACGTTCACCTCTATTCAAGGTCACAGGGGTCAAATATGTTAAAAACTTTATACAACTTCTTCTGAATAACCAAAATGCACAGGGTGATGATATTTGGCCAGTAGCATGCTGAGATGAAGGGCTACAAAGTGTGTTCAAATGAATGACCTTCACCCATATGCATGGTCACAGGGGTCAAATATGGTGAAAACTTTAAACAACTTCTTCTCAATAACCAAAATGCCCAGGGTGATGATATTTAGTCAGTAGCATACAAGGATCAAGGGCTATCAAGTTTGTTTAAATGTATGACCTGTAATCCTATTCAAGGTCACAAGGAGCAAATATGTTAAAAACTTTATACAACTTCTTCTGAATAACCATGGGTCCCAGGATGTTGATTCTTTGCAAGTTGCATCTTGAGATGAAAGGCTATATAATTTGTTCAACATAATGACCTTGTTCGACTTTCAATCACAGGGGTGAAATGTTTTAAAAAAATGAACAGGGACTTTTGAATGAATTTTAATCATAAATCCTGCTTTTTTGCCTGTAGCTTTATTTTACATCACTTTTAAGGTAACACGTGTGAGATTTATACCCGGTGAGCGATGCAGGCCCATTGGGCCTCTTGTTTATTAATTATAATAGCTTGTAGGTCGTCTCAAAGCGGTTCACAAATTAGTATCCGTGGTTATAGGGCCTTTGCAACCAGCCAGTATATTTCTAAACTCCCTGTGTAGCATACAGACGGTGCTGCCATTTCGGCGCTCACAGCTAGCATTCAACAATTCTAGCATTGCCCAACCACATTCTCATTTACAGCTGAGTAGACTTGAACAAGTGGAGTAAAGTATCTTGCTCAAAGATACAACATAGTGCCGTTCGGTGACTCGAAACCGCAACCCTTAGGTCGCGAGCCCGGCGTTCTACAGCTGTACCACTAGACTACCGTGCCTCCTAGGGAAACACGATTATTTGTTTCTCCTAAATTAATAATGCAAATCCTGACGACAAGAACAATTATCGATCAAAAAAAAAGACGATCATGTTGTCGCGCCATGTTGCTGTCGTTGGCTTCTGTCATTCGGAACTCTGATGTAGAGAGGCTCTGAATACCGGAAATACGATCGGGGAAAATCGAGCGCGAGACAATAATTTGATGTATTCTTCCTCTGTCAAGTGATAAATTCCTTCCAATCAAATATATCGTTGTATCATAGCATCCGTACCAATGGGCCGTGAAGTCAGATGGTCCCCATGTTTACCAAGAATCCTTTTGTTACTGATATGTAATAGTCCTTTATTTTCAATCTTTCAGGAAGACGTGCCATGTATAATACAGAGGCTAGGTTACCTGTGTATCCCACCCATTCCAGGTAAGTAGGTAGTGGATTTCAAATGTATCATACAGGCAACATGTGAATATATTACTTTTAAGTATCGATCAGTTGGAATGGTAATTTCAATTCACTGCATTCATAGCCGTAGGTTTTTGGTTTTAGACGCTGCTGTTTTGTACACCTTTGCTACATGTATATATACACCAAAGTTTTCTTCGTAACAACATAATTAATAGCATTTTTGAAAGAAAACTTAAAATGGCGATCAGCCTTCTGGTTGAACGTGTCGTCATAAGATCTTTGTTTTACTTATTTTCGCACTTTTTGGATGCAGCCTTTTTTGCATTGTCTTGTGAATTAAGAGAATATTGGAAATTTGTTTTTGCTGAATATCATATATAAGCCACTTGTTTGTCAGAAGATCCCCATTTTTTACTCCTGCTTCGCACTTGTGAAATATTTTGGTAATCTTCCATATTTCTAAAATAGAATGTTATTCAACTGGAAACCTGTCAAATAATGCCTATATATATATACGGGTTCCAGACACGGACGAAGACTGGCCTGGAACTCCTCGTAGCCTAGAGGCGAATGTAATGGATATGGGGGAGGGGATGTACCGAGCCGAATTCATATGGCAGGCTCCCTACGACTGTAAGTACACACAGGTCAGGTGGTAGAATGTTACATATTTGTACAAAACAGACCCGTTAAATTTCTCTTCTCGTTCAATATTCAATACAACAGCCCCGTCATTATAATTATTCAATACCTCATAAATATTCAATATCACGTAATTTTCACAAATTCAATTTGCTCCATCATTATATGTATTCAATAACTCATCAATTTATAATATCACGTAACGGTAACATAATCAAGTATCCAAAAAACGGCTCCGTCATTATTGATATTCAATACATTATATTTAAACAATACAGCGTGACGGTTCCGTCATTTAATATTAATAGAATAAGTAACTCCATTATTCACATTTAATTCAACAGTTCAATATATCGTATTCAATTAGATACTTTTTGAATATTTCAATTCCATAATTATAAATGACGCACATTGTTCCTTTATCCACATTGGTTAGATCATAATCACGTGGATGTGTTGTGATTAGTGATGTCGATTCAGTACTTTCAGAACCACTAGGTCAATATCCACGTTATGGCGTCATTTCCATTGCAAAGTCACTATGCTATGTGCCACGTGCAAAACTTTCCTTTGTGCAATTTATATACGTTCCAAGTTATTTAATGGTTAAAACATTGTTTAGCATCTAATTTAACAAGTAGATACTTTTATTTAAGTGACAATGCAGTTAAATCGACGGTTAATACCACTTTTTGTGTTCATATAACCTCATATTTACCTCAACAAAAGTCCTAGGGGATAAATAATTAATCAAACACCATATACATATTCATTGGATATTCGATACAACAGTTCTTCTTTGATACATATCAAATTAACAATTCTGTAATTATAAATATTTAATTCAATATCTTATGAATATTCAACGTGACATTTCGTCATTGAAAATTCATTTTGTTATATTATGTATTCAATACAACGTGACGTTCCCGTCAATGAATATTTAATAGACCTGATCTATTCATCTATACAACTGGACAGTTTCGTTATGATGTTTTTTCCGATACATACACACTGTCATTAAGTATTCATTAAAACATTACAGTCATTACGTTGCTATTAGAAATAGCAGTCCCTTAAATAGTATTCGATGCAACATTTTTGCATCAAACGTGCATTGCCCACGGGGGTCGCACCAGCTTATTAAGTGGCGCTATTCTATGTCTATTTCACGACCAAAAGACCAAAAGTTAGTAAATAGATTTGAGTTTGATCTTGGAACAGCATTGTACTAGACTAACCAGGAAAATATGAGTACTACCCATATCAGGGGGTCGAATCGAATGAACTGAAGGGATCTGTTTCTCGTCAATATCATTGGGTGGGCACATGTGTACTAGGTATGTGTGTTTATTACACATGTGACCCGGCCAAGTGTAACGATCGGTATTTGTTACGTATGTCCTTCTACATGTCCCTAGACATGAATATAACGAATTGATTTTTACTGTTTGTCTTGCTAGCCTCCATTGGCAGTTTACGGGGATTCCTGATGATGGTTCACTGTGAAGACAAGGAGATAGGTAGCATTGGCCTCGCTCGCTGTTTCTATGTTAACTTGACAGACGACACGTGGGCGGAACGACGGCGCGCACATGTAAGAGAAAATTTTAAAGCCTGTTAGCAGTCCATATATATTACAGGTCTTGAATTAGAAACCTTATTCCATCATGTAGCGCACAATATAGTTTAAAATGAATATGTGACCATGTACACTTTGGAACAGTTAAGTAAATATCGCGCCATATGTGCTTTGTTATTAAATCCCCTTCCGATTTATATATTTTACAGAATACAGATTACTGTGATTGGTTCTTACAATATAACAAATTACTACAAGGAAGTGCATATTTAGTCTCTCCTGTACAAGGATGAAAAATGTTCTACTCTGTTTTATTGTTTTATGGAACATTGAACACATTGTTTTTGTTGTTTTAAGGAACATTGAACACATTACTTTTGTTGTTTTAAGGAACATTGAACACATTACTTTTGTTATTTAATGGAACATTAAACACATTACTTTTGTTGTGTTATGGAACATTGAACACATTACTTTTGCTGTTTTATGGAACATTGAACACATTACTTTTGTTGTTTTATGGAACATTGAACACAATACTTTTTTGTACTGCCCCACCTGTCTCTCTGTCAAACAATTTTTCAGTGTAATAATGAACCAACTATAATCGACGCAATAAATGTTATTTCGAAAAACTAATTTTCGCGATACGATACGATGCAGCGAACTGCAAAAAAAAAGCTCAATGTTAATCAAACATGGAAAGTAGGCCGAAGTTATTGATAATTGAGTTATATGAATTTTTTCAACCTCATTTATGATTTGCCGGATTTCTCTTTGATCCCTCTGCAGTGGCCGATGTTGCTGTGGTGTCTGTTTTAACAGGAAATTATCTTTCTGGAGTGTGCAGTGTTGCATGAGTTGATCTCTTAGGGGTGTCTCTTTTCCCAGGAGTTGGCCTCTTTGGAGTGTATGGTTTTCGCAGGAGTTGGCCTCTTTGGAGTGTATGGTTTTCAAGGAGTTGGCCTCTTTGGAGTGTGGTTTTCCCAGGAGTTGGCCTCTTTGGAGTGTATGGTTTTCGCAGGAGTTGGCCTCTTTGGAGTGTATGGTTTTCAAGGAGTTGGTCTCTTGAAAGTGTGCAGTTTTGCAGAAGTTGATCTCATTGTGTGGAATGTCATTTCATCTTGTTTCTCCACCTTGTCATCGATGAGTATTCCTCGATGTTCGGGTAGACTCATTTTAACATCAATGTATTCATTGTCATTGCTAAGCATTTACCAAGTGAAACAAGTGTTGGTCCATTTACTACTGTAACAAGAGAGGAAAAATACAAGGCCAGACCGGATTCGTTCCCAGAACCCTATGAACTCAAGACGGACGCTCTACCAATTGAGCTACCTGGTCGCCGGCGATCGACCCTGTCTAGTTACGCTACAGCCAAGTGTAAAGTGATCGTGAGTATAGGACCTCTCGTGCTGGCCATTGTTCGCGGTAAACCATCATACAGTGTTTATAATTTGATTTTCTTTGAAGTCTCTTTCCATCATCACAATGTTGTCTACAGAAATGGTTTTATTCGGAGCTCGATTCCTCGTCCCGGCGCTACAATTTCTTTCCACCTGTTTATCGATGGAGGGTCTTCCGTGCACGTGTTTACGACCATCGGCCATTTTGTGTTCGGTAGAACCGGATTGAATCTTGCCGATGTGCGAGGAGTCGGTTTGTACTGTCATGTGAAGTAGAATATCTATGGTCTACACTTCTGTCACCTTTACACGGGCTTGTTTTTAATCTTTGGGCCGTTGTTGTGTAATATGTTTGTGTTTTGAAGCCCACACGTCACGTGCAGTTACAAAATGAATTTCCGTTATCGCACTTTGTCACCTTATGTACTTAGGATGCTGTCTAGAACAAGTAACATGACAATACGGAAGAGTGACCGAAAGCGTACGCATTTTAAACTCAAAATCGGTAAAACTAGGACCGAATACAAACAAAGGGAAGAAGTGAAACTAGGGCAGTTACCTCTCGTTGTATATCGTGTCAGTTTTTAACTAGAGTTCTGCCCCTTGACAAGAGCCCTCCTTTTTATACAAGTTTGAGCTGATCGGAAACCAAATATTGTCTAATGGAGTACAAGTCATAATTAGTCGTCCTAATTCGAATCATCGTTAGGAAATATGCTTGTCCTTTTCGCATTTAGACAGCGTAAAATATCTTGTTTAATTCTAGTTTTAAATTTTGCTATAATTTCCTCGATGTCGTCAGACCGAATTTTGTATGTGTGCATTCGTATTTCCGGCACTGTTTGCAGTGTGCGTTATACCTGGCTGCATTTTAGGTTTAGATATATATGATCGGGTATTAGTTTAGTGAACATACATGGTGAGCATCGTACATGTTGATCGGCACGTGATTTTGGGACCGCATGTGTCTGTGCGGGCCGACAGGGCCTATATACATCACGTACTGGGGCATTGCAATTTTAGTTGACACGTGTTTTCACAAATCAGTCTAGGCCTACTTCACTACTACAAATTAATGGGTATGCTAGCACCTTTAGGCTATAAGGATCATACTCGTGAATCTTGTTCAATTGGCGAGCTATATACATTTAATCCTTGCTGAATTCCCAAAAATAATAGCACCTTCTTGTAGTAAAGGGAATTCTCTTGTAACTTGTATTTCGTTAAGGCTTGCCAGAATGCGTTTATGTATCTCAGTTCTGTAACAAGTTCCAGCTTGTCATACTAATCACGGAGATCGAGATAACTTAAGAGCATGTTATCGTTCAACACATTTATGAGCTTATCTATTGTAAATTTGACATGGCGTTCAAAATCTAGGATGTTAGAATGTCCTCCATCTATTCTACCATTTAATCTTCGACCAGCTTTTCTTGCACTAGATAGGGATATCCCACGTAATACCTCGTGCTAGATTGACAATCCGAAGTAAAAAAAATAATTGGCGCTATGGTAGCATAGTACAGTAGAAATGGTCTGATCCTAAAAATTAACGGCATGTCTCAGATAAACATGGATATTGGACTGATCTTGCACAACACACACACATATATATATATAAATATATTTATAATTTACGCTACGAATGCCTTTTTAAGAAGAATGATATTTTTTTCAAGAATTGTTTTCCCCAGATTTTGGACATCTAAAAACCATGTCTACTACATATAAAACCCTACAAAAATGCAAATAAACACACATGCTTTTTAACCCAAATTTTGCCCCCCGTAAGAACAAGTAGTATTTTTTTTTTAATTTTGTCTTAAATAAGTTATCACGTACTCGGTAGCAGAAATACTCACATTTTCGCAAAGGTCATTCCGGTGGATTTTTCACAATATTTACACATGTGATGAGTACAAAAATAGACTACATGAAAATCTAGCTTTTGTTGTGTAGATACTGATTTGTAAATGGCCAAAACTGTAGTCTCTAACCATATTCTTTTTATTTTCTTGAAAAATTATGAAGCCCATATAGCCCACTTGATTGTATATGCCAATTTTAATGCTATATAGGGGATAGTACGTTGTATTGAGTGGCTATACTGGCGATTAGAACATGAAATTTGGGTTTGAACTCGAGAACGATAGGTCGAGAGTTTAAACCAAATTTAATGTTTTAATCGCCAGTATAGACACGAAAAACAACGTACTATCCCCATTCTAACACACCTTAACAAATATACTACGCTAATATGTAAAAAAAATATTGTATTTCCTTGTAAACAAGTACGCAGTAAAATACGTTGTGACCTGAACTGGCGACGTGTCATTCTGCAGCGGACTGACCAATCGGAAAGAAGCTTTCAAAAGTCGGTCATTTGGCCCCGCCCATACTGGCGAGCGCTCGATCTGTACGTCCTGTTACCAAAGTTTATACGACACATTTGGATTAATATTGACCAAGTTCTTACATTTCCATGTCAGTATGCATACAAACCTGTGCTTATCGACAAAATCGGTGATGATTTGTATAGAGTTGTGGAGAGTTTTGTGTAAATGCATACGAAACATGTGAAATGTTTCATTTGATTTCGGATCTAAACAGATGCCTTCACACGGATTGAACGAACGTTTCAGTAATAAATGAAGGTAAGAACAACGAATATGTACTTTTTGCTTTTTAATTCATTCAACAAATACATTCCATCGGTCGTTTCTGTTCTGTTGCCTTCTAGCCTTATCAGCATGATTTCGCTAAGAGGCGAGCTTGACGCCATATTGTTTTGGTTAGAAACGGGGTGTGGCTTAAGTGCGATGGGAGGAGCTTAACACGATTGATCTTGATTCTATCGCAGATTAGAATATGGTCCGTATCAAATCAAAACACGCGTTGCAAACGAATCGTGTTAGAATTTTATTTATTAAAATTTTGATATGTGTAAAATTATAGGGGTTATTAATTGTATAAAAATATCAACCATGGTCACCTTACGCTTCTATAAACTGCTACCTTACAATGTATATATCAGTTTGTTATATTAAAAACTTTTAAATGTCTAGAAAATGACACAATTACCAAAACGACGTATCCGTATCCCTTCTATCTTTAAAAGTGACCGAGTAATATGAATTTTCCTGTTTGGTGAATTTTTACCAATTCTGTTCTCAATCTACCAACAAAGGGAGGTAATCTGAAAAACGGAAACTTGAATAGGTTTGTAGTTTTCATGAATACATTTTCATTTTGGGTTAAACATGATGCTTTGAGATAATTTGCATGTGAACAACAAAACAGTACATTGAAACTATGATGTTTCCGACTTGTTTGATGACGTCATACTTACTGTGATGTCATCATGACATCATCAAGGCTTACTGATAACAAAATGAACACCAGGAACTATTCATAACAACAAACTAGCAGCAGAAACACTTCCTGTAACCGATGAACAGCACCAAAAAAACAGATGTTCTGAAACATCAGACAAGTGACACCAAAGCAACCGTTGTTTACTTTCTTCACCTAGAAATTTCAACATATTTCACTCGAAAAAAATGATTTTTGTCAGCTGTAATTATGGAAATAAAATGTATTGACATACTC